AAGTTAGTCAGAGTGTGAGCCACGCTGCAGTCGAGACAAGTCTCTGTTTCTCTCTAAAAGAAAATTCACACTGACTTCATCAGGTCTTTGTCAACAACACAGCAGAGTCTCTGCCCAACACTGGTGAGTACAGCTGATCATATTTACACTTTCAACAACCAGGACTAACACTAAACTTCAGCTACACTCAGACAGCAAGTTCCACTCTTTTCTCTTCATACTTATGAAACTGATAACAATATAACTGTGGCTGTTTGTCCACAGACCCACTGTACAGTAGCTCACTTTGACAGCTTTAAACAGTCACTGTATCAGGTCTCAGGACTTAAGTAACTTGTAACTGAATCTCTGTGGTTTGGAGTTTAGTTTTCCTCATACTTTTCTGCTTTTGTTACTGTTTAGTGATCGTTTCCTACGCACTGCTCTTGTACTCCCTGTAAGCATTTCAAAATAAAAGCTCTCCACTAGTGAACCAGTGTGACATGGACGGACGGATGGACAGACTTGTTTAAATATAAGTAAACACTTGAAGACATTTATATAATTTGAGAGTTTTAAAATGGAGGACATCTTCCAGTGTATTACAGTATCATTTGACTTGACTTTCCCTGGACAGTGATGTGCAGTAGACCTGCTTCTGGTCCTAGTCATGATGTCAGTTAAGAATGTGTTTTTCACTGTGTGAGACACAGACAGCATGTGAAAAATGCCAAATACATAAGCCACATGGTCAAGGCATGAGAGTCGGCAACGCTTCTGTGCACAGACACATATGAAGACCAATACATTTACTGAACGACTCAAATTTGACGTGCACCACTGTGCCTATGCACATGGCACGTCGAGCCCTGCAATATCGTATTAAACACTTAAAAGAAAGGATAGCACATCCTATTCTTTAGAAACAAAAATTTAAAACTTGTGTGTTACATAAAATGTTTTCTTTTCTCAGTGTGTAGATATGGCTGCTGCAAACTATCTGCCATCTGAAGATCAGTTTCTGTGCTCCATCTGTCTGGATGTGTTCACTGATCCTGTCAGCACACCATGTGGACACAACTTCTGCAAAAACTGCATCACTGAACACTGGGATACAAGCTACAGGTGCCAGTGTCCCTTATGTAAAGAGACTTTTACCATAAGACCTGATTTGAGGGTTAACACTTTGCTAACTGAGATGGTCGCTCAGTTCAGACAGTCAGCTCAACAGAAAGCCAGCAGCAGCAGCTCACAGCAACAAGCTGCCAAACCAGGAGAAGTTCCCTGTGACGTCTGCACTGGAACCAAACTGAAGGCCCTGAAGTCCTGCCTGGTGTGTCTGGCCTCCTACTGTGAGACTCACCTGGAGCCTCATCTGACAGCTTCACGTCTGAAAAGACATCAGCTGATCGACCCTGTGGAGAACCTGGAAGACAGGATGTGTACGAAGCACGATAAACCTCTGGAGCTGTTCTGTAAGACCGACCAGACATGTGTCTGCATGCTCTGCACTGTTTCAGACCACAAGACACATGATGTTGTTCCTCTGAAAGAAGGATATGAAGGAAAGAAGGCTGAGCTGGAGGCTGAACTTCAGCAGATGATCCTGAAGAGACGACTGAAGATTCAGAAGATCAAAGACTCAGTTGACCTCAGTAAGGAAGATGCAGACAGAGAGATTGCAGAAGGTGTTCAGGTCTTCACTGCTCTGAAGGAGTGTATTGAGAGAGGCCAGGCCAATCTCATCGATGCAATCAAGGAGAAGCAGAAAACAAAAGAAAATCAGGCCAAAAGTTTTATAAAAGAGCTGGAACAGGAAATCTCTGAGCTGATGAACAGAGGCACTGAGCTAGAGCGGCTCTCACGCTCTGATGACCACCTCCATCTTCTCCAGAATGTCCAGTCTCTAAACACCCACCACCCAACACCCACCAAAGACTGGACAGAGGTCAGCATCTGTCCATCATATGAGGGGACTGTGGTGAGAGCTGTGTCTCAGCTGGAGGAGACACTCAGTGAACAGATTAAGAAGCTGATTGAAGCTGAGCTTAAGAGGGTCCAGCAGTATGCAGTGGATGTGACTCTTGATCCTGATACAGCACATCCTAATCTCATTCTGTCTTATGGTGGAAAACAAGTGAAATATGGTGATGTGATAGTGTCGACCTTTCAGACAGACAACCCGGAGAGATTTTCAACCAGTCTCTGTGTTTTAGCAAAGCAGAGTTTCTCTTCAGGCAGATTTTACTTTGATGCTCAAGTTCAAGGAAAAACTAAATGGAATTTTGGAGTGGCCAGAGAGTCGATCAACAGGAAAGGAACCATCAGTATGACCCCTGACCATGGTAACTGGACTCTAGGTTTAAGAAACAAAAATGAGTACAAAGCCTTTGATGACCCTCCAGTCCGTCTCTCTCTGAAGTCTCAGCCTCAGAAGGTGGGGGTGTTTGTGGATTATGAGGAGGGTCTGGTCTCCTTTTATGACGTAGATGCTGCAGCTCTTATCTACTCCTTTACTGGCTGCTCCTTCACTGAGAAACTCTTCCCATACTTCAGTCCCTGTAATAATGATGATGGTAAAAACTCTGCACCTCTGATCATCTCTCCTGTCAGAGTTAAATAATCACTGCTCTTATTTTATGTATTAATTTATTTTTATTCAAGGGAACAAATATTTAGTGTTAGTAGCAGGGAAAACACCTTTTGGTCAGTTGGTTGGTCGATATGTGTCTGACATAATCCTCACCGGTCACATAATCACTGAGCTTACTTTCATAAGGTTGTGTGTCCGCCAAAGTGTTTTATCCCACCTCAAAAACGCCTAGCTAAGAGCACTAGTGCACTTTGGAGGCACGTTTTTTTTCTGTTGAGAGTCGTCGTATCAGGGCTTTTATTGGTTTTATTACGGAGCAGCTGGAGAATGACAGTAAAGGACAGAGAGAGAAAGAAAGGGGGGATTATATGCAGCAGGTAGGAATCACACCTGGGCCCCTGCTCAGGACACAGCCTACATTGGAGCGACGCGCTACCAGGAGAGCTAAAACATGCCCCTGAACGCAGCATTTTACCCAAAGTTAGCATTCTTTAAGTCTTGGCAACCAGAAAATAAAACGACAATTGTACAGGGCTCAGTGAATTGTCATGTTTTTGGCGTGTTGCAGTGTAAATACACAGTGCAGAGAATCAAAAAATATTTATGTAGTTAATGTAAAGAAAATATGCAGATTTTTTTTCTCCATCGATCAAATGGATTGGTTGAATCGTAGGTAGAATTTCAGTCAACTGATATTTTCTTTGTTTCACCACACCCCCAGTGAATACCTTCTAGCTGACATCTTATTTTCTACAGAATCTTTTTAATGTGAATATACACTTCATTAAGATTCTTAATTTTACTGATCCCATTACACAGTCAACACATACATTTAAAGCATTCATCTATTTCAATCTGCATCATGACACACATGATATGTGCAGAATATCTGTTTAAACCTCTGTTAAACCCACAGACATTTACTCTCACTGACAGAAGAAATCACTGTTTGTAAAGACGCCAAATATGTCAGGCTGCAGTCTCCAGGATTTGATGCAAAAGTACTCAAAATCAAGTTTTTTTCCTTCTATTTGATGTTCAGCCACAAGAACACATATCACTGAATATTTCATTGTGTCATAGTAACGCCTATTACATGCCTGTGGTGTCGACAGAATACAGTATGTGTCATTGTTATACCTGATATAAAAGGTAATGAATAAAAAAGATGCTAACTGAATTTTCTATCTTGCCTAAAATGTTGTTTGGTTGACTATTGGTCGGTGTGACCAACTGTTATTTGTTTTGTGAACACTGGTGAGATGGTTTATGTGTCACAGAAAACTGTAAATATGTGATTGTTGAATGAAATAAACTAGTTGTTTAACACAAGGCCTGAGTAAGCAGTGACTTGAACATTCAACACTGAACAGAAAATCTTCAAATACATGTAGGTTGTATTTCCTGACAAACACACTGTGTTTCCTGTGGCTGCTTCACAATTAAAGCCCTCTTGTTTTTCATCATTTGGATGCTTTTAATGTGAAGCAGTGTCAGGAGGAAATGTTTGTTTCCACTAGCAGTGACTGAATCCAGTCCGGCTGTAGGAGAGTGAACAGTAACAGTGAGGCTGATATCAATGAGACAGAATTACACTGGATTACATGCTGCATCGTTTCCTGTCAGTCCCTCATGTGTGTGAAGGCCATCACCACTGACAATGGACACTACTATATACAGAGAGGGAATTACTGATTCTAAATACATGATATAGCTTTTTATACCAGCCATAAATATCATAAAACATGGGGTTGATATAAAAATGATCAGCTTTATAACTGCTTGACTTCAGCACTACCCAAGATTTCTGTAGTTTTACTCTGTTTCATAAAATTATTTTACCTTTATGTTATGTTTAGTTAAATAAACATAATGTCCTTTATTGGGATCATCTGCACTGGGTCACCCTATACTTGCTTACATCCTTCATGCCTTCCTTATCAAAAATATTAACTTATGGATTAACTGTCAAGATACAAGAAGTCCCACAAGTGCTCAGAAAAAGGAAAGTCTGATCATCCACAGTTCTATGACAACTGAACAAATAATGTGCTGACGGAGAGCATGTGATATGGTCAAAAGCTCCAGAACAAAGGAGCAAGTGGACCTTGGGTGGAGATTATTTTGTCAAGCTGCTGTTTTCAGACTAAAGAAAATGATCCTTTCCAGTGGTGTCCACTCTTTAAACTACACACACTGTAACCAGACATAATAGTTATACTCTGCAGCCTGATGTTAATGTCAATTCAGCCCCATTGATTCATGACAGAAACGTGTGTCACAGTGGAAACAAATGTACCAATGAACCATTTTAAATTCTGAATAAAATAATTTATAGTACAGTAACTGAGGACATCGTTAAGCGTTGGAAGGACCACTTTGAGAAACTCCTGAACCCAGCCGTCATGTCCACCGTGGAGGAGGCAGAGCGTGAGGACTCGGGAGAACTGCCCCCCCCCCGGTCACTACAGACTGTTTGAAGTCATGTCTAAAATGAAAATTATTGTGCAGTTTATGAAATTTCTTCGCCTGTTTTCTGCTCTGCCTCTTCATGTCTGTGACTACGCTGACAATAACAATTGGTCAAAAATCATCATTTTCATGTTTAAGTCCTTTCAAGAGGAATTTGAATGGTCAATAAATGGTTTTGTTAAAATGGTGCTGGTGTTATTCAGTGCAATATTAACAGCAGGTAAAAACCATAAGAACCTCAGTGCTGAGTTGACAGTTGCTCGTTCCACTACAGTAACAACAGCAACAAGCTTCCACTTCCTGGTGTTATGGCACAGAGCGACCACTGGATGGACCACAACACAAAGGAACAACTAGCATGGAGTCACTGTACTGTTAACCAAACACTGACACACCTTGATGAGGCCTTTTTAGAACTGTCCAGGAAGTTGAGCTGCCAGTAGTATTGAGTATTCTTCCACTCTTCCACATCTCACATTGTGCCCACACAGCTCAGAGCTTCCTTTCAAGTAATTTAAAGGTACATCACCACCTTCATCTCATGTTAACCCAGGTAGGGGCATTAAAATCATGTCTGAAGCCCCTTTCACACTGCCACATTTTCAGCGAATGTTGGGCCGTTTTGCCGGCAAGCTGCGAGCGTTTAGACACACAGAGCCGGAGGTGCCCAATTTTACGTCTCATAGTCACATTGGCAGAACCTTTTTGGTTTAAAAAGAATGAGGTGCCCTTCCACCACAGGAGGGGCTGTTGATGACGCCGCACGTGCAACCCACTGGCAGTGGATAAACAGGAAACAGCTGATAGCAGGAATTAGCAAGCAGCTAGTAGCAAGAGGGAAACACAAATCTGACAGACACTGTAAAGATGAGCAACTGGGGAGACAAGGAATTGTGCGCCCTCCTTGTCCTCGCAAATGAAGAGGCCATTAACCGTCAGATGACGGGGACGGTGAAGAACGGGCCGACTTACGAGAGAATCACCGAAGGACTGACCAGCCGCGGCTTCCCTCCCACGTCACTGTTTACGTCACACGCTGAGCTACACGTTTTGTTACTTGCTCACGCCCCCCACTGCCCCGAAAAAGGCGCATTCTGTATAAACAAAAGTAGGTAGGCGGCATTTTGCTGCACTCAACGATTTTGTTTTTATATTGCCAATGCTGAAAAAAGACTGATTGGGCTTTCCTGCAAATTTGCACAATTCCTGTTTAAAAAGGGCTTAAGTATGACACAAAACCTCCCCAACAGAGCTACAGTAAGAGGTGGAGCAAAACTGGACAGACAACATTTCAACGTCATATTCCTTAAATGAAACTTAAGGAAACTTTATAAGTGCCAGTTGAGTCGAGACAGTCGAGACAATCAAGGCGAATCTGCTTCTTTCAAACAAAATAAACTGACTTCATCAGGTCTTTTTCAACAACACAGCAGAGTCTCTGCCAAACACTGGTGAGTACAGCTGATTATGTTTACTGCGTGTTAGATCAACATGAAATTTAAGTTCTTTGTGTATTTAAATATAAACTAAAATGCTGCTGCAGCTATTATTCAATATTTCAAAAGACTAAAACTTTGAAAGCATAAAACAGTTTTTGGATATATTAGACAAGTTCCACTGTGAGAACTAAGCCGGACTAAGCCTTCTCTATAGCAGCAGATTAAATATTGAAAACCAGTTTGCAGGGAGAGGCCTGACTGAGCCAGTTTTGGGCCTGTAGCCTTCAACTATTACTAGAACATGAATTTGTCCTTAGTGCTGGTTAAGTATCATGAGTGATTTCATACATGTGTTCCTTTACAACATTAAACATTTAGGAGAAAGAATCATGCTTGAAGTTTGTATTCTAAACTTGGCTTGTTGGATTAAAGAATACTTCACCTGCAAAATGACCTCTAGTGTATATTCATTACTCGCTGCATGTTACGTTGAATTCATAGAGATTTTTTTTTTTCCTGGCATGCCTCCACTGTGAATGGAAAATTCCAAAAAGTTGAACATTCTTTATATATTGAAGTCATCAGGGTCTGCGTTTAACAACACAACTATAACAAAACATCCATTTACAAACACTCACACAACTCGTGCAGTATAATCCAAGTCTCATTTAACAAGTCACATACTCTGTGCTTCCCAAACAAATGCATTTTAGCTGAAACATTACAAGACAAAATACTTCCGCCTACCAGTAGTGTGCCCTGAGGCTGCCTGGACATGTGCCTGCATATGAACTCCGCCCAGGCATGCTACTCAGCCATGTTTGTACCCAGACGTTTTAAATTGTAGGTTTTAGCAAAAACACGTGCAATTCTAAAGTACTGAGCAGATCCCTGAGTGAGACTTGGATTATACTGCACAAGAGTGTGTGAGTGTTTGTAAACAGATGTTTTGTTTGCAGGCGATACCGGTTTACTTCAATTCAATTTTCAGCTTTTTGGATTCTCCGGTCACCATCGAGGCCTGCAAGAAAAGGTTTTCTTCATGAAATCAAGGTAACACGTAGTAATTTTTTCTAATTTTTTACGGGTGAAGTATTTCTGTAGCAAGCTAAAGTTGGCACTGATTAGCAGCAGATAACTACTGTTTGTTAAGTCCACATACTGTATGTTTACATCAGCAATAGTCCTGCAGCACTGACTGTGTGTGTTGAAATTAATAAGAACATGGTGGCGTCTCGTCGTTGTGAGCTTGATGCAATGACGCAATTTCATAAAACTTCTATAAAATTTAAATGAGAAGTTCTAAGGACTGAAAATCATATTTGTGTATTAACATCTCTGTGACTAATAAAGAAGTATACTGATTAGTTACAACCTCATGTTAACTACACATATCTTAATCACTTTTATACATGGAATATGGGAAACCTTGTCAGGAAGACCAAGTTGGATCAGTGTACCCCTAACTGACATTTACATGAAACTTCAGCTTGACTCTTAATTTCAAACTGACACTTCTCAACTGGATCACTTAGTTTACATTATAAAGAAATCTTTACTTCTTTTCTCTATGTGTAGATATGGCTGCTGCAAACTATCTGCCATCTGAAGATCCGTTTCAGTGCTCCATCTGTCTGGATGTGTTCACTGATCCTGTCAGCACACCATGTGGACACAACTTCTGCAAAAACTGCATCACTAAACACATGGATACTGACGACAAGTGCCAGTGTCCAATGTGTAAAAAGACTGTCGAGACAGAAATTGTGCGTAAAATAAAGACTAAGATCTCTGAGAAAGTCGCTCAGTTCAGACAGTCAGCTCAACAGAAAGCCAGCAGCAGCAGCTCACAGCAACAAGTGTCCACACCAGGAGAAGTTCCCTGTGACGTCTGCACTGGAACCAAACTGAAGGCCCTGAAGTCCTGCCTGGTGTGTCTGGCCTCCTACTGTGAGACTCACCTGGAGCCTCATCTGACAATGTCAGGCCTGAAAAGACATCAGCTGATCAAACCTGTGGAGAACCTGGAAGACAGGATGTGTACGAAGCACGATAAACCTCTGGAGTTGTTCTGTAAGACCGACCAGACATGTGTCTGCATGCTCTGCACTGTTTCAGACCACAAGACACATGATGTTGTTCCTCTGAAAGAAGAATATGAAGACATGAAGGTCGAGCTGGAGGCTGAAATCCAGAAGAGACAACTGAAGATTCAGGAAATCCAAGACTCAGTCAACCTCAGTAAGGAAGATGCAGACAGAGAGATAGCAGAAGGTGTTCAGATCTTCAATGCTCTGAAGGAGTCTGTTGAGAGAAGCCAGGCCAATCTCATCGATGCAATCAAGGAGAAGCAGAAAACAAAAGAAAATCAGGCCAAAAGTTTTATAAAAGAGCTGGAACAGGAAATCTATGATTTGACGAGCAGGAGCACTGAGCTGGAGCAGCTCTCACACTCTGAAGACCACTTCCATCTTCTCCAGAGTGTCCAGTCCCTAAACAGCCAACACCCAACACCCACCAAAGACTGGACAGAGGTCAGCGTCCGTCCATCATATGAGGGGACTGTGGTGAGAGCTGTGTCTCAGCTGGAGGAGACACTCAGTGAACAGAGGAAGAAGCTGGTTGAAGCTGAGCTGAAGAGGGTCCAGCAGTATGCAGTGGATGTGACTCTTGATCCTGATACAGCATATCCTAAACTCATCCTATCTCATGATAAGAAAAAAGTGCATCATGGTAAAAACAAGAAAAATCTCCCAGACAACCCAGAGAGATTTTCTGATTGTGCTTCAGTCTTGGCAAAACAGAGTTTCTCTTCAGGCAAATCTTACTTTGAGGTTCAAGTTAAAGGAAAGATTGAATGGGATTTAGGAGTGGCCAGAGAGTCGATCAACAGGAAGGGAGACATCACACTGAGCCCTCAGAATGGTTACTGGACTGTATGGTTGAGGAAAAGAAATAAGTACAAAGCTCTTGATAACATTCCAGTCCGTCTCTCTCTGAAGTCTCGTCCTCAGAAGGTGGGGGTGTTTGTGGATTATGAGGAGGGTCTGGTCTCCTTTTATGACGTAGATGCTGCAGCTCTTATCTACTCCTTTACTGGCTGCTCCTTCACTGAGAAACTCTTCCCATACTTCAGTCCCTGTCATAATGATGATGGTACAAACTCTGCACCTCTGATCATCTCTCCTGTCAGAGTAAAATAATCACTTCATGTAGGTCATGTATTGATTTGTTTCTATCAAAGGGAACAATTGTCCATGTTTAGTGGGAATAGTGGGAATAGTGTTGGTTTACATGTCCTGTTCTATGGAATTGGTTAACTATGATGATTGATCAACACTTAACTGATAAGGTTTTTTATTACATGTATCCTATTACATGAGAAGCAACACATTTATCTCTTTAAACCTGCAACATGACAGACATAATGTCTGAAGAATATTTATTTAAACCTCTGTTAAACCTAACATTCATTTTAACTTCCTAACAAATCACTGTTTCCAAAAGCATGAAATATGTCAAGGTGGAGTTTAAGTAAACAAACAAAAATGTTGCAAAACATCTTAAATTTATTTCTTCTTCAATTTAATGTGCAGCCATAGAAGCATATTGCTAAATATTTCATTGTGTCATAAAGCTTCATCTAAGAGTAAAGCCTGTGACATGTCTACAGTGTCTACAGAATACAATATGTGTCATTAAAAGTTAATGTACACAGTTAATCAATAGAATATAACAAGATTTCCTGTTTTATTTGAAAAGTGTTTGGGTTAATTATTGGTCACTGAATTTTATTTGTTTTGTGAACACTGGTGAGATGGTTTATGTGTCACAGAAATCTGTAAATATGTGATTGTTAAATAAAATAAACTAGTTGTTGAACACAAGGCCTGAGTAAGCAGTGACTTGAACATTACACACTGAACAGAAAAGCCTGGTTTATACATAAGTTGTATTTCCTGACAAACACACACTGTTTCCTGTGGCTGCTTCACAATAAAAGCCCCCTTGTTTTTCACCACTTGGATGCTTTTAATGTGAAGCAGTGTCAGGAGGAAATGTTTGTTTCCACTAGCAGTGACTGAATCCAGTCCGGCTGTAGGAGAGTGAACAGTAACAGTGAGGCTGATATCAACGAGACAGAATTACACTGGATTACATGCTGCATCGTTTCCTGTCAGTCCCTCATGTGTGTGAAGGCCATCACCACTGACAATGGACACTACTATATACAGAGAGGGAATTACTGACTCTAAATACATGATATAGCTTTTTATACCAGCCATAAATATCATGAAACATGGGGTTTGATTCAATAAAAATCTGCAGTGT